CGAAGCAGACATTAACAAACTTTCGATTCGAATGAAAATTATTCTTTTAAATATGTTTTTATACCTAATTCTATTATTTTTGATAGTAACTGTTAACTGCAGATCGAAAATCTTCTATTGTGTACATTTTATTTCGTTCGATCACCTTGGTTTTTGGTGCCATTCATGCAAGTTTTTTAATGAACCAATTACGAACGTTTGTGCGACATACATTTTATTTTGCTTCGTCCAAATAAATATAAATCATAAATATAAATTTTTGCTAATAATTAAAGCATGTATGTATCTATTTGGGAAATTAAATTAACAAACTTGTTACGTTTTTTTCTGGACGCGATCATTACTTGTAAACAACTGATGTCGCCGCTTGAGGAATCGTGCAGCTAAAATCAGCTGATTGTACGTGCTGACGTTTACTTAATAATAGCTCTTCAAAATTCCTATTCATTTTGTAATAAATATATATTATGCATATGTAATAATATGTAGATTAATAGATTTTTTGGTTTCCATTTTTCAACATCCTTGCCAACAATGCACATTACAAATGTGCCACGCCCACTTCACATTGGTGCGCCCTGTTTAATTTTCAAACCATGGAGAACCCTGCACTTCATATCTGTTTGTCTTGTGACATTTCAAACATTGCTATTAAATAATGTATGTGAGATTGACAATGACATGTACAACTCTTCATAGTCTGCCTATGATGATGGCACTGAGACAACTCGGAAACAACTACTGAATGTATGTCCGGCATTACAAACAGCTGATTTGAAAGTTGTAGACGTATTATTAGACATATGGAAAGGCGTTTGCAGGAGGATTTTCAGTCACTATGAATTGGCTGCAAAGAGTTATTTCACATACTTGAAACTTCGTGGTCAGGTATGTTAAAATCTTAAATATAAAATCTTCAATATTCTTTACAGCAATTTGATTACCATGTTATGTACATGAAAGACAAACTATTGAGGAACGTCTGGCTTTAATATGTTGTACTTTTTGTCAACTTCTCAGGGTTTACATTGTTTATTTTGATATCTGGCCAGGCATGCCGTAAGGTCTCTTGTGCATGTAATCTTGCATATGAACTGTCCCTTGCTAAATAAGTTCAACACACCTCATCTTACAAAATTTGTGATTTGATGCAATTTAATAATCTTTCACATTCAATATTGACATAATATTTTCGTCACTTTATTCTGAACATTTGTTTATTACAATCTGTCATTGCTTCAGAAGTTATTATTCATTCACTTCTCTTCTTGGAGCAGGATACTGGGATCAATGCATCAGGTATCTCTCAAAGTGAAAGCAACGGAGATAACATTACATTGAGTAGCCATGAAGATGCAAACACAACAGCAACTTTACGATTACTCAGGTTACTCGTGAAACATGCTGGAGAATTGAGAGATGTCTTGGAGAATGGTCTTGCTAACACTCCAACAGGACCCTGGAAAGGTAAGAGTTTTAATGGCACAACATAGACACCATGGGCCACTATTGTCTAGCGTTGTTGTATCGGAGGAGCTTCTGTGAGTCTAGAATCAACATAAATCCTACCATCGTTTATTTTATGAATTATAAATAATGATAATTACGAAAGGGAAACAAGAATAATCGCGAGTGATAAATTGATCTTTAGTGGAAGCTACAACTGTTGTCTGTTTCTCCTAATAAACACATTTTAAACCACAATTTCAACATGGATACATTGCCCATATGTTCATAAATATGAATCAGTGAAATCATGAAAGAACCTACATGATAATCTACAAGTATCTGAGGCGTTTACCTAAAATGCTCATCATATAAGTCATTCAAGTCCCTTGAAATTGAAGATTGTGTACAGATACATAGTTACATGTCTAAATATCTTGTGTCTCACCTTTTCAGGAATTATCCCGCAACTGTTTTCTCGCTTGAACCACCCTGAAGCCTATGTGAGACAGAGTATATCTGATTTATTGTGTAGAGTTGGACAGGATTCACCTCATCTCATTATATATCCTGCTGTCATTGGCTGTGCTCCAGTTATCACTGATAAAAGGGATAATTCAAAAGAGGGTGAGCAAAACAAAATGACACATTTTTAATGTCAAGTGAACAGTATGCTAAGTACACTTCAGATTTGTTTCCTGCTGACTTTTAACAAGACCACATGCACTACTATTTTAAAATGAGCTGATATGTTTGACTTTATCATTGGTTGTGATTCCAAAAGAAAAAAAAATTGAACATTCAAATGGAATATGGTTGTTAATTGTATACATTTAGTGTTTTACAAGCTTTGATAATGTTGTAAACTACTTTGATTTCATTAGAACTGCTAAATTTAATATTTCTTTAGTATCTTTCGAACATGCTTTGACATTCCTTCAAAGTTCATAATAAATGTGTTTGTTAAAAAGGTATGCTGAACAAAATTCTCTTGGTATCACCGTCTAAACAAGAAGAAGAAGATGAAATTGAGGAGACTGAAAAGGAGTTGGAAGATGATGAAAATGATGGTGATGATGATGAGGATGACAATGATAACCGCACTATGTTGCAGAATGCATTTGGATATATCCTGGATAATCTTGGTAAATTCAACCCTATGCTGGTCTCTCAAGTGCAAGTCTTAGTACAAGAATTAAGACGAATCACTCTGTTGTGGGAAGAGTTATGGTTAGGAACGCTGAATCAACACCACATAGATGTATCTTTGTAAGTGTTTTTGTGTATTAGTCTCATATAAACTGGGACTATCAATGTGGGTTTTGTAGATCTGTCTGCTGTTTGATCCAAAAAACTGGGATTTAAGTACATCATCAACTGTTATTTAGGCATGCTGTTTTTGTGTCCCTCAATTTTCAAGGATTTTTAACTCATTTCGCAAGTATATTGCAGTGAGATCTGATACTTTACAAAGCATGTTACTGGCTTCTAGCACTATGTCAGTAAAAATCTACATGACAGGAATAATGCATAGTCATTTGCTTGTTAAAATCTATTCATCATCACCTACATGTTTATTTCAGACATGCCTAGACTGATTAAATTTGAATCTTACATGTCACGCATAAACAAATACATTGATTGCATGATTTGGTTGAAAATTTGGTTTAGTGCTAAAATTGATCATTGCTGTAATTTTATGATTGGACCTTGGTGTGTGTGGATGATTTTTGACTTTGTACACACCTAGAAAAATTGCTTGTGCCTTATCTTCCATATTTCTTGACTGATTGTATACACATATAATTTTACAATGTCAACATACATGACTTCTTGTTGAATCAGGATTACTGATAGTAATTGTGTTGTTTTGATATTGACATAGACGAAGAGTACCACAGTTGGAGGATGAGATTAAAAGAGTACTTTCTAATAACACTTTGACTAAAGAAGAGAAAATGGCTATTATCCGAGAGAAACATAATGCAATACTCAAACCAGTAAGTTATTTGATGTTAGTAGTGAATAAGCCTGGATTGGGTTTCGTCTGTGTATCTGTAACGCTTTCTCAGAAGTTCATAAACCGATTTTTCCGCAGACTTAGTACATAGCTGATACATGATGGTATGTGCTGGCCAATTATGTTCAAACTTATTGATAACTGAGACAAATTCATCATTTTTTGTGATTGATCCAAAATGGCTATGACATTTTCCAATGCTTCTTATACCTCATGTTCAAGATTGTCATGTTGATTAACCTGAACACGTGGTGGTTATGTTGTGTTTATTTATTCGGTATAATAATAAAAAAATTATTCACATGAAATAAAAGTTGGTGTATTGAATTTATGATTTACTGATATTCATATATTGTTGTTTTTGTTTCCATTAGACTGTATACGCTTTGGAACAGGTCCAGGCAATCACAAGCCAGCCAGCTGACACTCCCAATGAAAAGTGGTTTCAAGATAACTATACAGAGACTATTAATAAATCCATGGAGTCACTGAAGAACCCTAGCCATCCAGCCAATCCCCTCGGCAGTTGGAATAAATTTAAACAGGTAAAAATCTCTGGAATTGTTAAAATCAAATCTATTCCTAATTCTCACTTGAAATACAATAGTTCTTGACTGGTGGTGCACTGCTTTTGTTATTTTCTAGTTGCATCATTCACTACAACAGAGAGCTAGTAAAAGAGCTACTCACCTGCTGCAGATGGATGAAATTAGCCCCAGATTAGCACAGATGAAATCTACTGTCATCTCAATGCCAGGCTTGACTGCACAAACACATCAGGTATGTCATTTATGTACATCTCAATGTCACTGGTTGACCACAACTTACTAACATGAACTGCTTCTTGATTATTACTCAGTTTGATATATAGTGAGTGCCACATATCTCTTCCTGGTTTTATGTCTTGAGTGAAGTTCGTATATCATCTTGCACTGATTTGACTGATTGTGATGGCATAGGATGTTATTTCTTCGTGTTTGTTTGCCACACATCATAATTCTATAAGATCAGTAATCTGTGAAAAGATTGTACATGTACTTTATAGATACATGTATTACTGTTGAATTGCCACCTATATACCAAACTCACTAGTGCCAGTAGCAACATGTGTTTACATATTATGTAGTTTATGAACAATCACATTATTGTGAAAAAATTTTTGAG